AGAAGGGAGAGAAATGGACCCGACTTCTTGGTGGGGAATGGAGATATGGTGGTGGCCATCTTTGGAAAACACAGTCTGCAGCAGACAGCATAAAACTTACAGATTTAGATCAGAAACAAATATTCCCTACAGTTAAGGGTAAGCCAAATCAATGGGCAAAACTTAATAAAATGCTAAACCGAAAAAAAAAAAATCCACCCTGAAGAAAAGTGTATCAGGATTCTTCAAGTCAACCCAGGTCACTTGCCAGAAGGTGAAAGTGCTCTTTAGCCAGGAGGAAATGGGCCAAAATACACGTAGAACTTGGTGGACATGCCAAAAGAATGAGGTAGTAAGATAATTAAAATCCCACTCAACTTAAACTGAGTTTCTCTATAGTTCCGTAGCACGCGTTCTCTAGCCGCTAGCCACCCTCTGCGGAGAGATTCCAGGAAGACGGCTGCATTAGTCCCTCCACAAAGAGGAAGCCACCTGGGGAATCTTTTCCCACACCTTCATCCCATGATATTCTGTTCTTCCTAGCCTGTCATGCAATCGGCCATTCTCTTCCCCACCTCCCAAACTCTGTCATTGCCGCTCCTGTATCTTAAAGCTGTTTCCGGAGTGTTTCTCCACCCTAGGGCTTTAACTCTACCCTGAAGACGCCATTTCCATTGTAGTTTTCTCCAAGGAAAGTGGTTTATTCTCTTACACTCCATGTACATTAAGTTCAGAAGGTACGTTTGCTTTTCTTTATGCTCCCCATTGCTATTTGCAGACCATTAGTGGCTCGTCTTTTTATTAAAAAAAAAAAAAAAAAATGAGAGCCAGCCCTGATGGCCTAGCAGTTAAAGTTCAGAGTGCTCCACTTCAGCAGCCTGGGTTCAGTTCCCGGGCACACAACCATACCATTTGCCTGTCAGTAGCCATGCTATGGCAGCTGCTCACATAGAAGAACCAGAAGAACTTCCAACTATACACAACTATGTACTGGGCTTTGGTGGGGTAAAAGAAAGAAAAAAGAGAAGACTGGCAACAGATCTTAGCTTAGGGCAAATCTTCCACCGCAAAAAAAAAAAAAAAAAAAAAATTAAAAACAAAAAAGAAAAGCAAATAAAAACTTTTCTCTTGAGACTCATGCCATTTGGCTAAACTACTCCACCTCTTCATAGTTAGCATCTCCCCAAATCCCAGTCACTCTTGCTTTCTCATTTCAAGGACTGACATCTGACACCCAGTCTTCCTTTAAGATGACCTTAAATCTTGTCATCATTCTGTTTGTCTGGAAGAGTCATGAATTACACCTGTTTCCTGGTTTCTCATCCAGTTAGCATTTTGGTACTCCCAAAAGTGTCTGAGTCTCAACAATGTTATATAGCCACCCCAACCCCAGATGACTTAACCAGTTACCTGGGAAGATACACATAACCCCTTGGCCTCTCATTTTCTTGATCACCTCAGCCACACAGGCCCATGGTCACTTCCTGGACATTGTCAGCACCCATAATCTTGCTATCTCCAGATGCAAAATTCAATCTGCCCACCTTCTGACCACAATAACCCGTCCTTCCAGCTGGCTTGTTCAGCCACTCCCATCAGAGCTAAACTTTCTCCCAAGAAAAGTAACCCAGCCCCGCAGGAGAGTCACATGACTGAGAAGATTGCTTCCACCATCATCACCAGTTTCAAATAGACTCCCAGGCTGCCTGGAAATCCCACTACATTTTCCTGATCAACTCACTCTCCCATTTTCTGCAATGACCTTGTCAAACTTTCTCCAGCTCCCCAAACCTATGATCTGGCTCCCTCCTATCTTACTCTCAACAGACGATCCTACTTCTTTTCCTACTTTACAAAGAAAATAGAGGCTTTAGATTAGAACTTCCTTATCTAATGGCTGTGAAAGAGAAGAAAATTCTTATCTACTCTAAGCCCACCCTTCTTCCTTTCTGGTAAAATAGAGAAGGTCTCATTTCTCTTATCTAAGGACCCATTCATTTACCTGGACCCTATCCATTTCCTCTGTCTCAAGAAGTTTTCACCATCCATTATCTCTACTCTCTCTTTAATATTCAATACTCACACTCATCTGGATTCTTTCTATTTGAAAACCATTTTTTAAATATAAATAAAATCTTCCTCAACTTCACATACCCCACCCACCACCTCCCTATCCCTTTTCTCTTCACAGGCAAACTACTCAAAAGCGTGATTTTGCTGTGATCTTCATTTTTTTACGCCCTATTCACTCCTCGACCCACTCTGGCCTCCAGTCCCATCATGCTATTGAAATAGCTCTCTGAGGTTATTTACATTGCTGAAGGCAATGGGCATGGCTCAGTCTTCATCTTGTATTCCTCTCAACAACTTCCGACATGGCTGGCCACTCCCTCCCACTCTTGTGACTCCCACAACACTACCTTTTCCTGGTTTGCCTCCTATGCATTAGAGCTCTTCCTCTGTCTCCTTGGCAGGCTCAGCTTCTACTTTGCATGATGGCATTCCTCAAGGCTTAGCCTTTGGCTGTTTTCTCATCCCACTCACTTCTCTCTAAGCAGTCTCATCAATGGCCATGTATAGGTATATTACTCAACCTGTGTGTCTCTAACTCTAAACCACATTCTCCTCTGAGCAGTAGACCCTATACACAACTCTCTACTTCTTGAAGTCTCCACTTGAACGTCTCAAAGGCATTTCTTGCTCACAAGAAAACTCATTATCTTCTCCCACCAAATAGTCCTCTTCCAGGGTTCCTCATCTCATTGAACTGCAGTGCCATCCATCGTCATCCAAGGCTGATTCTTAGGTGTCATCCTTGGCTCCTCCCTCTGCCTCACTTTCCATATCCAGTCATCACAATTTCTTGACAACTATCTTCCAAACATCTCTCAGGTCTATCTACCCATTTCTTTCCATTCCACTGCCACCAACCTAGTCCAAACCACTATCATCTCTCACCCAGCCTAGCTCAGAAATCTTCCTGCACCCATTCTTTTCCTCATCTGATCAATTCCCCAACTATAGCCAGAGTGCTTTTTCTAAAACATAAATCCTGCAAGTTTAAAATATTATTTAACACAATCTCATTGCTTCTAGGATCAGATAACAATCCTTGACACGGTCCACATAGTCCCGCACAGTTTGTCTCCACTGACCTTTCCCTGTCTAGCCTTGCCTCACACCAGAGCTTCAGGACTCCAGCCACACTGCTTGACATTCAGTTCCTAATACCTTCTGCCACTCCCCAATCCCCACCGCAGCCCATCAGCAAATGCTGTTGGTTCTGCTTTGGAACTGTATCTTGAATCCAAACTTTTCACACCAACCCCACTATTGGACTCCTAATCAAAGTTACCATTATCTCTCACCTGGGCGAGTGCCAGCCTGCTGAGTATTCTCTCGTGCTTTTTCTGTTCTCCCATTCAATCCATTTTCTAATCACCAACCAGCATGATTGCATATAGCAGAAGTCAAATCATGCAGTCACTTGCTAAAAACCACCCAAGAGCTCCCCATTGCAATTAGAATAAAACCCCAAATCCTCCAGGCTGACCCTAAGGCCCTACTTGATCTGGTCCCTGCCTACCTCTCTGCCCCCATCCTCTATCAGTCACACTGGCCTTCTTTCTAACAATTCTCTGTTATTATCTCAAGAACTTTTCTTGCTCTTCCTTCTCTTAGAATGCTTTTCCAGGTTTCTGAATGGCTGTCCCTTTTCATTACTTTGCAAAGAGGTATTCCCCGACCACTTTTCCTCTCCCATGAAAGTCACTTCATTGCTTGACTTCAGAACCTTCCAGTGGCTTCCTGTCTCACAGCAAAGTCCCTACCATAGCCATAGCTGGAAAGACCACACAAGATCAGGGTCTTTCTTCTTTGATCTCATGTCCTGTCTGCCACCCCCTCACTCTGCTCCACCCAGACTAGCTAGCGTCCTTGCTGTTTTCCCAACATCTCAGGTGCTCTCCTAACTCGGGGCCTTTGAATGCGCTGTTCTTTCTGCCTGGAATATTCTAATCCAAAAATCCACATAGATTAATCTTGTGTCATTTAGGTCTGGCTCAAGCGTCACTTAGATAGCGTCACGTCGGATAGACCATTCTGGATGACCCTAATTAATATAGCAACTCCATCCCCACTCTCATCACTCTCCATCCCTCACCTTTTAATTTCTCTCAAAATATTTACATTATTTGACATGTTAAATATTAATTTGTTTATTGTTTGTTTTCTCCCAACTAGAATGGACAACCCATGAAAGCAGGAATTGTTTTCACTACTGCCTTCCTTGTTCTTAGAAGAGTAAGTTTCTCATTTAATAAATGACTGAACTCTCTGAAATTACCTAATTAATTTATGCCTTTATGTCTCCACCACCCGCCCCGTGTGTAAACCCTTGAAGGCACAGCTCTACTGGGGAAGAGGGTTAATTTAACCACATGGACAAATCGTAACTGATTTTAATTTCTGTATTTTCAGGACGGGTCATTTCTAGTCAGTCCTTTGCTATTAAAATCCTGCGGCCAAGAATGGCCTTGTGCATATGCATTACTTCTTTTCATAGCTGTTATCTCTGTAATGCATTCTTCAAAGGGGGGATCACTGAGTCAAAGGGGAATTGCGTACGCAAGTTAAATAGCTCTTGCCAAATTCCCTTCCACAGGGTTCATCTCAGTTTGGATTTCCACCAGCCACGTGTGAGAGGCCACAGCCCCGCCTGCCAACCGAGTGTCGGTAAGCTTTGGGGGGTTTGCCAATCTGATAGTTGAGAAAAGGCCTCTGCTGAGCGCGCCCCGCCACACCCCCGCCCCCTCCCCCCCCCCTCCCCCTCCTCCTCCCCCTCCCCAGCTCCTGCAGACACCGCTTATCTCGGGCCGGCGGCGGGTCGCCTGCGGGCTGGCGGGCGGGGAACGCGCGGGCCGCCCCTCATCCCCTCCCGCGCCGCTTCCGCTGCGGGTGGGCTGCGCGCCCCCGGGAAGACCGGCCCTTGCATAACCGGCCCGAAAGAGGAAGCACAGAAAGGGCTGAAGTAAACGCTTAGGAAGACCGTTGCAAAATAAATCGGGCTTTCGAGCTTGTGGAACCATCATCGGGCCCCAATCCCGTAGCCACTCATATATCGAGGCGACAAAAAAGGGTCCATTCGCGAGGGACGCTCCTGCGAGAACGGGGCGCGCGGCGCAGGTAGTGGAGGGATGAAAGATGAAGGCACAACTTTTCCCAGAATTAAAAATTTATATTTTTTTCTTCAAGGTTGTGGTGTAGAGGGGGGAAGTAAGACGAAATGAGGCACAACTGGCTGAGTTAGAAAGAGCAGCCCCGAGTTTGAGTCTCAACCGTGTCTATTTCTCCGTGGGTGTGTCTCCCACCAGGCGCCCCTCTTGCACCTCGATGCAAAGCAGCGCGGCGAGAGCCACACGTCTGCGCGCTGCGTGGAAGGGCAGGGCTGACACCACTTCCTCCCCGAGGCCGTGGACCTGAGCCCGGGTGGAGCCGAGTGCACGGCGTCGCCTTCCCCGCTGGCGCCCCGACGCCGACCCGCGCCCCGCCAAGTGCCCGCCAAGTGCCCTCCAAGTGCCCGCCAAGGCCCTGCAGATCCGTCAAGGTAAGCGGCGCCGGCCGGCGCGGGAGCGCTGGGAGCGGCAGCCGGGACCCTCGGGCTGTAACCGGACCGACCATGTGTCAGGCCCGTCGGGTCCAAGGCCAGACCCAGCTCCCGGCGCTGGCCGAGTGAACGCGCGCCCCCCGCTTGGCCCTCGAGGGGAGCGGGTCCCCGGGGTCCCCTCCGCCGATCTCCGCGCTTGACCTAGCCCCGCGGGCATTGTTTCATCATCTTTAACTGATTTCCTGCCCAAAACGTTGCTGCAAGTTCAAACTGGGAACCAGTGTGAACCCTCGCCTGGCCGGCGGGTCCAGGAGCCCCCAATCTGACTCACTCTGAAGGGACTAGTGGGGGCATTTTAGGGCACCGTAGATAAATGCAAGGCGGGTGAGAATTTGAGAGTGTCTCTGACGCATCTTAGAGTGTTTCCTTCCTTTATAACTTTCAGACGGCTGTTTTTTCCTCTTTAAAAATAACATTTCCTCCAAATTATTGTCCTTTTCATTTTAAAATAAGATAGAGGAAAGATTTAGACACCAGGCAAAAGTGTCGTAAGTTGGCCTGGAAATGAATGTCCCGAATGCCATTTTATAGCATGAAGGCAGCTAACTAGGATGTCCTTCTGCCCAGGAGGACCTCACGCCGGCTCCCGCTAAACATCTTGCCCGGAGTACCTCTAATTTTCCATCAGGGAAGGTATCTTATCGTTCCTCCCATTGTGGAACGCTAAGTGTGTTGTTTCCTAGTGCCACTAACCGCAAGGTGTTTCAAAAAGAACTTTTATTGTGATCATTAGAGAAAGAGAAATGAGTAACAGAGTTTTTACTCCCCAGGATATTATTGCTGGTGGTAAAAGGGGTTTAAACAAAGGCAAGTGTACTAGCCACTACTAATTTTAAATTTTAGGGCTCTGCACAGAAACCAGAAAGAGAGCCTTTGTCCCTTTGAAAATCTCCAGGGGCTGTGTCCCTCTGGCCTCACTGAAATGCTGGAGGGGCCCGCGGGCAGTCTCACAGTACTGCTGGCTAGCAAAATGAGCAGAGGAGCTGCTAAGAAATCTCTGATGTCTTCCGGATGGCATTTCCTGTCTGTTCAATGTGTTGGGAAAGTTCTAAGAAATTTACTATCATCTTATTCATAGTTTTCACACTATTACCAACCAATATTTGTGTCCTTTCTAGGTATCTGGGAGACTCGAGTTCTAGTTCCTACCTGTCTGTAACTAAACAGGGATGACCTTGACTAAGCTGCTCTAACCTCTCTGATTCTGAGATAACTCATGGGTGGAGCGAGGTGATTGGACTACCTCACGTCTGTCATTAAAAAGCAATTGAGGATTTGCTATAATTCTTTGAATTTGTCCTTTCTAGAATACTGGCAAAGTTAGAATTCCTGCGCATTAACAAAAAAGAATGGGGAAAATAATAATGATAACAGATTTTCTTAGATTCTGACCTATCAATTCTTTTGAGGCCCTTTGTTTCTGAGAAGTTCCTCTAAAAACAGAGTCAATTTCTGGCCTATATGTAAGATGGCAAATTTCCATTTTATTGAAAAACTAAGATAGGGAGTTGGTGTGCCCCAAGCTTGAGCAGGTCAATATTTCAACATTCTTCGACTGCTATTTCCAAAGAAATATAGCTTTATAATATGGATTACCTTATGATTTAGTTACTTTAAATATTAAACACAATACTGACTAGATTACATAGTGTCCATTAAATTTTTCGTATTTTTATATCCTAAGAATATATACAACCACCCACTAGTTTTTTGTCTTTTTTCACTTATAAATAAAAAGTTCTAGATATTTTCACATTATTACTAAGTAAGCTGTTTATGAAATTCATTGCCATAAATGTCTGTGTTTGATATGCTGCTTTGAATTTTCTTTAAACAATTCTACTTTCAAAAAGAATTATTATTTTCATTTATTTCTAATCCTCTTCAATTTTATTTTAATTATTTTTATACCTAAAACCTCTTGGTGAGTCCACAAATCTTATAATAAATTAGGTTTGTGTTTCATAGTCTATCACACCCAAATCTTTACAATTGTATTGGATCCTATGAGTTTATTTTATAGAAAATAAAATGGTCTTAGGAATTCTCACTTCAAAATACAATTCTTATTATTAACATAATTAATATTTTCAGTATGAAAATGTATATGTGTTTTATGTCAGTTCTGTCATCCTAAGTGGCAAGTAACTTAAAGTTTAAACATTTATTATAAATTCAAGTACATAATAAAGGCCAGGATTTAAGGCATCAGATTGATACACTGGTTGTATAGTGATGTTTATATGTCTAACAGTTATAATTATCATAGAACCCTAAGTTTTAGAGGAAACTGCTATACATGTGGAAAAGGAACAGATTTCTCTTGAGAAGAGAGAATTGCAGCACTGAGGAATGGCGTCAAAGGACCTGTAATCAGTCTAAGGGCGAGATGCTCCGTGCAGCATGACAGGGCAGGGGCTGAGGGCGGCTTCCAGGGACTAGAGGAGGCGATTTACCGCCTCATCCCCTTTACCTAGCCAAATTCCTGACGCCATAGTTAGGAATCAAAAAGTGCTAAATGTACGGCATATATCAGATCCACTTCTGGGTTGTACCATCAAGATGTCTGCAGCCCCTGAGACCCAGCTGGCCCCCTTGGTACCAACCCTGGGGCCTGAGCGCAGAGATGTAGCTCCACTCCAAGGCACCACACCCGCTCAGTCTGCAGTCTGGAACTTGAATTCATGACTCAGTTTCCAAACATTGTCTGAACATTGACTATGGACTTGAATCATTAAGAGTCACATTGTAAGAGCTGTTTTCTTTCTTCTCTGTCAACTCAGTTTTCTCGTTATCACCAAATGGTCATAGTAAATAATAATTATTATTTTATTTAGCTTATATTTTGTACCAGACCCTGTGCTAACTAGTTTAGATGTGTCATTTCCTTAATCCTCACATCCTGGGCTTATATTATTATTATCCCCCTTTTATCATTGAGGAAATGAAAGCACAGAGAGGTTAAGAAACTTATGCTGGGAGTAAGCAGCAGAGCTGACATTTGGACCGAGCCAGTCTGATACCAGTGCTCAAGGTGCTGTACCGGGACCAAGGGCTCAAATGGTGAAAACTCCTGGGGCCTATCCTCAGTAAAGTCCTAGTCTGGTAGGGAGACATAAGTAGGCAGCTAGAATTCTCCAGGTACCTAGAGTTGTGGGCTGTGGGAGCCCATATCGGATGCCTACACCAAGCTAGGGTCAAGGAAGGGAGGATGCAATGAAGGGAACCAAGCAGAGAGCTGGGCTTGTTATAGTGGGACGACAAGATATTACCATCAGTGTTGAAGTTGTTATCTTTATATATATCTCTTGAAAAAGTAATCTGCTTTGGCAGCAATCCTGTTTTCATTTTTATCTTTGTTATATTCTGATCCCTCTCAACAGCTTACTAGGTTGATTAAATCAATGAGGCAGTGAGTATAATGTGTTTTTCTAATTCTACTGGAGATCTTTCTGACTTCGTCTCTATCACAGTCTCAGGAGTGAGATGGCTGTGGGCTAGGATGAGGGATCCATGCTAAACACCCAGCAATTATGTTTCCACTAACCAGCTGGAGGATACACGTCCACAGAGCTATATCATTTCAAACTGGAGAGAAAATGAAGAGTGACAGTAGGACAAGTAAATACTAGGCAGGATTTATTTTTTTTACTTTCTATTTTATATATGAAATATTTCATATATCAGAAAGATGATATGATATATATGTTATACACAAATAATAATAAAGCCAACATCTGGGTACCTAATCTCCCAGCTGAAGCAGTAAAATATTACCAGTACATTTGCTGACCTCCTCCCATTGCATTCCCCTTTTTTCTCAATAATCGTTATTCTGAATGTGCTACTTTTTAAAAAAAACATTGAGAAAGCTTGTGCATGCATTCGCAAAGTGATATCAAACTGGGATTTAGAGGACATTGGCTGTTGGGAAACTGGAATTAGAGTCTCCACCAATTCCAGGCAAGGTCATTAAGCAAGTGTGCTAGGAAGTCAAGATGCCTTACTTAAGAGTAAGTGCCGCAGAAATAGTTAGTGGTGTCTGTCATTAATCAAGTAACTAAGATTCATCAGTGGATAATTATAATTTTGTATGTGTGTTGTGTGTGAGGAAGATTGGTCCTGAGCTAACATCTGTTGCCAATCTTCCTCAAACAAAAAGAGGAAGCTAACATCTGTGCTCAACTTCCTCTTTTTTTTTTTTTATGTGGGATGCTGCCACAGCATGGCTTGACAAGCTGTGCTAGGTCCACGCCCAGGATCCAAAACTGCAAACTCTGTGCCGCTGAAGCAGAGCATAAAAACTTAACCACTATACCACAGGGCCAGCCCCAATCACTGGATAATTATAATTTTTAACTGTAATAAAAAATATGTAACTTAGGAACTGCTAATTTTCTCCTATTACTTAGATTTTCCCTTTAAATGCAATTCAGTCATCCAAAAAATGTTTCCTAAGCACTATTCTGGGTGCTTGGAACCTGTTGGTAAACGGAAGAGACAAAGATCTCTGCATGTGTGGAGCTTATATTCTAGTGGAGAGATGCAGACACTAATCAATAAGCACAATAAATAAGTAAATAATATAGGTATTAGTAAGTGAAATGTGCTATAAAAAGACCAAGTTGAGCAAAGTAAAGTTGCAGTTTGAAAGAAAGTGGTCAGGCTTGGCCTGACTGAGAAGATAAGATTTGAGCAAAGGTTTGAAGGAGATAACTAAGAAAGAGTTAACTAAGAAAGAGGCTATCTGAGGGAACAGTGTTCCAAGCAGAGGGAACAGCCAGTGCCAAGGCTGTAAAGCAGGAGTATGCCTGGCATATTCCGGGAACACGATGGCCCATGTGTTTTAAGTCAAGGATTAATTTTCAAGCCAGGCTAACCAGTAATCTTTCTATGAATGGACTCAATCTAAACCAGTTTTCCTGGAGTTTGGTTCTGTG